CCCGGAGGTTATTCCTGAAGATTCTCCACTTGGATCCCACTTCCCACAAAACAGTAACTTGTGAAGATGCTCATGCTACATAAAAGACCACCAAGGACGAGACACTATATCTACCGGAGTCAGCACTGGGAAGGTATATATAGGCACCATACTTGGGTTTGTACTGCACAGAAAATGCCTTCAGGACCCCACAAAGCACTGATGAGAAAGGCTATGGGGAGCAGGAAATGAGAGAAGGAGACTGCAAGGTGGACAGAGATGTGCCCCATGTCCCTCGGGTCTCATGAACTTCATCACATACATACACTGCTTTTCCAATACAAATAAAGACTAGCAAACCATGCCAAAAATCACTATATGAGCAGAATGTTCACTGCATGCTTTAGTCATTAGTTCACGTGGTATTATGAGGGCGGAAGCTCTTAGGGACACCAGCACAAGAGACCGGAGCTTCACAAGCCTCACCGCCTAATGGAGGAAGGGACGCCAAGGGAAGAACAGAGAGAGGAAGGAAACAAGCAGTGCAGTGGATAAAATCACTCTGGAGGATGAGGCCCCATGGTTAGGGGGCCTCTGAGGAAAAGCCCGCCATGCGCGACCCATGAGACGGTGGGCAGGACCAAAGGGCATGACCCCGCCCCAAGAAGTCAGGGTATCAGCAAAAGGGGGATGAAGGTCAGGCTAGGTCCGACCTTGAAGGCTACTGTAACTATTTAGATATTACTCTTAGGGCCCCAGAAAGCACCTGAGGTATCTTGGGCCTATTCTATCTGACAGTACGTCTGTCAGGTCAGAGAACATCTTAGAAAGCTCCCAGGTACTTTTCCCTACATATGGATACGTCATAATTTCATTAATCCATCTTTCAACTCTTGATTTCACAGTTTAGAAATAAAAAGAAGGAGTACATAGTAATGTGCCATTTTTAAAAGCCAGGAGTTTACACTAATATCAGATAAATTATTTTAAAATCCCCATATATAAATTAAAAATCGCAAGCCAGGTGTGACAGCACTCACCCATAATCATCTTATAATCAGCTCTGGGAAGCTGAGGCAGAAGGAGGCAAGCACAAGTCCAGTCCGGGCAACTTAGCAAAACCCTACCTCAAAAGAAATATTAAAATAAAAAGGGCTGGGCTTGGGTTGTAATCCAGGATAAAGGCCCAATTTCTGGAAGAAAAAAAAACTCCTTTCAGGAATTTTTTATCCTAGTTCTAAATCTGTCAATGCACTAAATTTTGAGTGAGCTTTTTTGGAAGTCTTGGTCTGGAGTACTCTTTTTCGAAGGTCTCTCACTAAGAATGTTTCCCATATATCTCCATTTCCCACCAAACAAGCCCTGAGTATCTAAAAATTAACTTATACTCAAACTTCAAAAACAGAGTCAGAATACATTTTCCTCAATCATCCTAACAAAGACATCAGCGATGTTAAAACCCTGACTTCTGAAACCAAACTGCTGTTCTCTTTCTAGCCTCATTATTGAAACAGACCTTTTCTTCATGTTTGTTCATGACAGGACTGCCATTTTCCATGCTGCCTGTCAATTATAAACAAAATCAATTTCAAAACCAAACTAGGGCTTCCTCTGAAATATTCCAAGGTGAATTTTCATATCGGTGGGGGTTTTTTGTTTGTTTTCTGAGACAGCATCTCACTCTGTAGTTCAGGCTGGCCTAGAACTCATTATGTAGCCTAGGTTGGCCTTGAACTCCTGGTGATCCTCCTGCCTCAGCCTCCTGGGTGCTGATATTACAAGCATGCACCACCACACCCAGCTCTATCATATGGTTTTATATCAGCACTTAAACAGGTCCAAAAATCACTATGTTATTGCATATTATCAAAAATAGTTCATATCCTAGTCAATGCACTTTCAAGTCATAATTTTGAAGGTCCAACTAAATTTTCAAACTACACCAGATGTGAGAATGTCAATCAGAGTTACACACATGATGTATTACAAATAACTCAATATTATGCTGACTTAAACTAGTCTTTGCAGTAGGTCTTTTAAAAACAAATGGCTTAAGAGACACAACCTATAGAAAACACGTACATAAAAACCAGAAAATGGCAGTGCAGTGGGTGAAGACAGGAATTTCAACTGATTCTGGGGTATTCATCTCCCAGCTACTGTACCAAGCAAGGCATGTCCATAAAGATGCAAGATAGATGGTCTCCCAAAATTGTAGCTGCTTACAAAATAAATGAGACTTAAGCCTGGTATCTAAATGACATTTAGGGGAAATTTATCATATTCTTTTTTGTTTGTTTGTTTGTTTTTGAGATAGGTTCTTGCTGGTCTTGAACTTACTACGTCATTCAGGCTAGACTCAAATTCACAGCAATCCTCCTGCCTCAGCTTCCAGGGTACTGGGATTACAGCTGTGTTCTGCCAGCCCAGTTATTGCTTTTTAAAAAAAAAAAAATTTCCTAACACCTAACATCTTTTTAATAAGTATTTTTAAATCTCTCTCAGTTTATTCATTTAACAGCCTTGAAAACAAGCTCCAAGCAAGGATGGATGCTCTGCTTGCCTCCAATTTTTTACCATCCAATAGTGGCAAAAGATCCAAGTCTAGTCTTCTTCTTTTCACCATGATTAACAACCTCCAACACACACACACACACACACACACACACACACACACACACGAGCACACACTCCAAAGACCTCCAAAACACCAAAGCATCACCTATAGTAACTCTGTAAGCAGTTCTCTTAAAAATACTAACTGATTCAACCTGACAATTTCCCTGAAAAAGACAGCAGTTTACCACGCCAGAGTTTTCTATTTTATCCATCTCTCTGTCAACCATCTCCTTAGAGTAAGACTTGGGGGGAGGGGGGATGTTAACACTTTCTAAAAATTCATTGCCATTTCTGAAATGTACAGTTTTCTTTCAGACATCAATTTAAATATAACTTCAAAAGTCAGTTTATATTGCTTAATCCCTATTTATTTTCTCTCCATCATAACTATGAAAAAGGATTATACAAAAGTCTCCCAACAAGTAAATGACACTTTAGTAAGGATTTTAAATATCTCATATTATAAATATGTTTAGGAGACTAAAGAGTAACACCAACAACCCTAACAACACAGAGACCAGCCCAAGGGTTTAACTTATAAAACGCACACCTTCGCTCAAAATGAAGCTATGCTACAGTTAAGCCAGGAGAGAATGTAACTCATCTTATACGATTTTAGTTTAACTAAACCATGATAAGTTGAAAGCAAATTGAAAAAGAACTGAATGGACTACATACATCATAAAATTATATGACACCGTCCACATTTCATAGGCAAGAGTTTAGAGGATTTAAATTAAATTCTTGCTGCAATAAGGGGATGAAATCGTTTTAAAAAGAAAAGAAAACCCTTTACAAAAAAGCAACATTCTAACTCTATGCATTTTGCAAGCCTCTTCCTAGTCAAGGAAATGGAACAATATTTTAAAGATAATCCACCTGATTAGGCATCCCTAATGTGTGAAACCAAATCTCTTCATCTTTTCGCTATTATGAGAATTAAGTGCATCGAACGTTACATTTTTCTTCTAGAGGAAAGACTTGCTCGTGATTTCTTTACAGTCAGGTCCTCACTCAAACACCCACGCGATAAAGTCATAACAGCTTTACTGGGCACATGGACATGTCTGAGTGACTATTCTTCTGTTTGTAAATCATTTTCCTTCATTCCATTCCCCTTTCTTTACATATGCAAATTACGGTGTCTGATCCAGAGTCCCCACCAGCCACCACAACCAAATTACCCTCAAGGGACATCAATGGGCTTGTTATTCTTGTTTCGGCCATTAAGCACAAACGAGGGCAGGGGTTGGGGGGCGGTGTGAGTAGATATTTTCAGGAATCAGAATTGCCCTTGATTAGATTTCTGTTTATTCCCTGAAATGTGTTACTCTTTGCATGAAATATGCAGTGAATGTTTGGTAAAATGAAATGCTTGGCATTTTAGAGCCAAGCTATGGTACACTGTTTCCAATATAAATTGCTTCAAGTAATATATGCCTAGTTTTATAGGAAGCATTCGGTCGAATTCTAATACCCCCTCTTGGGACCCAATCTCAACTTCCAGCAGCAGAGCCAACCTGGCAGAACTGAATTTTAAACAACATACACACAAGTCCTTTTTCCTCCTACTCTAAGACACCATACATGATGCTTATTACTTAGAATATAGATCTGTTAGGTAATAAATTTATCACAAAATGCACAAAATAATTCCCCTTTAGCCAAGTATTAAAAAAAGAAAAAAAGATTTCTACCAAGGTTGAGCTGTAGCTATCACTGCTTAGGCTTGTAAATCATTGCACAATTAAGAAGGAATAGCACATGCATATTTCCATAGGCTGTAAATGTCAGCCGAGAAAGCATATGCCATAGGGTTTCCTAGTCCCCGAACAGGGTTGTCAATAGGCAGAAATGATTCTACTTTAATAGTTTTCCTTGATTGTAATCAATGAATTTGTTTCTATGGTCTCTGAAAACTTGGGAGAAGATACTTTCATTTTTCTCTCATTAAAATGTACTTGTGATTTTATTCCAATCCTTACACAAGATATAATCAGGGGAAAGGAGAAAGCTCGCTGCAATATTGTACTCATCCTGTTCCATCAGGCTCAAAATACGAATCCCAAGGATATATATTTATCACATGCAAGCCGAAGCTGAAGGCATCCACCAAGAGAATATTTTCACTATTCATCTGGCAGCCAGAATCTACTTCCACAAACCTGCATATTAATGAGCGCCAAAGCTCTCAGTACCGCTCTCCACTTCTTTCTCATAATACCTCTTCTTTCCGCAGAGAAGCCATTTTACTAATTTATAAGCACCCTGACTATCCAACCATCTAAAAAAATTTACTCATCAATAATGGTCAGCTAAAAGCAAGAGCATATCCCACAGGGGCTAGAGAATAAGACAGGCAACACTGGCATGTATTGATCCGCAAGACTCCTGATACTTACTGAACGCAGCCACGGCAAGGGCCAATGTGACGATAATGGAGAACCAAGACACCCACAACGCCTTCTTTCTGTAGTTCTGGGCTTCGTGAGGCTTCAGCCGGGTGCTGCTTTCTAGCAAGCCTGACAAAAACAAGGAGAAAAGGAAATTAGACATTTCCTTCTTAAGAAAACCCACAGCCAGAGCTACAATTTCTTATCCAAAGATTGCAAACTGACAGCCCATAACCAAGATGTGTTTTGTTTGGCCCACACTGTGTTTTCACAATTAGGAGATTTCACATGGAAATGAAGCTTTCTGGCGTCCCTCGAAAAAACACAGGTTCTGGCAATAGGGGGCACGTATTTCTGCAGGGTGAAGCAGCTGTCTTCACCAGAACTCCACAGACCACAGCACGCCCTGACATGTCACACCAGGCCGTGCTCTTGCCCCTGTGCTATGTCATTTGGCTCAGGCAGATGCCACTCCATCCAGGGACCTTCCACTAGGAAAAGAGCATGACACGCAGTGGAGTTTTGGGCTCCTCAGCTGTGGGCACTGATTGGTCTGGATCCATCAGCACAGTCCCAACAATTCCCAAAGCAAGGAATCACAGACTACAAGCCCCTTCTCTGCCCCCTGGCAACTAACAGGGAGAAAGGGACACTTCTCTTCCACTATAACCAACAACAACCACGGAGCCTGAATTAGATGCCATGTTTTCTTCCCTCCTCCCTCTATACTGGCACTCATAAAACATTCTCAGAATATTAAAGTGGAGTAAACCTGCTAAAACCAGAGGTAGCACCCTAGGCAGGCCACGTGTAGGACAGGTTTTATTTTTCTCTCCTATTCTCTGCACACTGAAAGTCTTTGACAATGACAGAAAAACACCACAACTTCAGGCAATGCTCAAGCTTCTATTGCCTGGGGTCAAAGATTAAAATGACTTTGGTATGATCTTAATTTATATTTCTTTCTTCTCCCTTGAAAACAAATCATATATGGCATCTTTTAGCTGCACAGAGAATCAAATTTTAAGTCATGTGCTCTGTATAAGCAGAGGCTTATTATACCAGCTTTGGCTAAATGGTGCTGAATATTCCCTTCAGAGGTCGAGCAGCCCCATCATACCCACATAATGAAGGATCTGGTAATCAAAGCTCAAAATCTCACCTTAAAGACAGCACACCTATCCATCATTTCCTTTGTCTGACTGTTTACCACACTAGGTCTCTACCTGCTATAGGGAATGGTACCCTCCCCTACCTATAAGGGGCATAGCCAGTGCACGTACAATGAAAGACAGGTTAGGAGGAAAGGATAACAAATACATTTAATCAGCATTCTGTGTCACCTGGGAGCCTTCAGAAATGAAGACCCAAAAGCTCAGGGAAAGCTGTCTTATTTTTATGCATTGATTTGATGAACAATAGAGAACTGTGTAGAAGTGTGATTGGACAAAGGATTCAGATTCATCTTAGTCTCTGCATCATGGTATCCCTTCCTCTGAGGAAGGAGGGCAGGATCCCTTTTGGAATGAAGTCTTATGATCTGATATTAGACAAGGTAGGTCAGAAAATTTCTCTATGACCGGCTGGGACACAGAAAGGATGGGGAGGTCAGAGTAATAGTTCCAGGTTTGGAATGGCTGGCTATCAGGAGGAGAGAGGTTCTAGTTTTGTGACCCACCTGAACTTCTTGGGAGAGAAGGGGGAGAAGAGCTAGGCCAGAAGACAGATTGGCTCTAAAGCCCTCCAGTGTACTTCGGTGCAGGCCATGCTGCATGCCAAAGTGCCTTGCAGTGTACTGCTTCCTGAGCCCCAACAATGCCAAAAACTGCGTCCTGTTCAAAGACTAAAACAAGTATCCTGCAGAAACTTCTCGGCTCCATCTATCACCCAGACCCAAGCACCTCTGCACACATCCCTAACACAGCAGTAGGAACACAAGCTTAGTGAGCCCAAGTCACAGGCCAGATTTTTTAACTGACTGAAATCTGTGGGCTTCTGTTGGATCCAACAGTAAATGTACATGAAAATGCAAATTGTACATATAACACCATCTCCACCATCTTACTATCAAAGTCTCCCCAAATCTTCCTTCACACACGCACTCAGACAGAAAAAGGAAACCTCATCTCTCATCAAACTCCACCCTAGCTACAGATGATTTCAAATGAAAACAGTGTGTGCCTTTGTCTGTTTCCTTCTTACTTACTTAAAAACACTCCGCTCTAATTTTGAAATACCATGTCCCTCCTGTCCAGGTAGAGCCCTAACCTAGAATGAACAGATCCCATACATCCCAATAATGTATTTTTCGTTTCCTAAATGGTACAATATTTTCCTCTCATTCTGACCAACTGATTTTCAGAAGTGAAGTTACATTTAGCTACAGACTCAAGCATTTCACTTACAAGGTGTTCTTACTGCAATAATTTCAAGAGGTTTATCTACAAGGTTCCCTTTAGAAATAGATTTAATTTTCCACGAAGGATAACCATGATCTAGGTTGCCCTCCTGCCACACAACATTTCTTTTTCCTCCCAAAGCTAGCTGCTTTCAAGATACACCTTGTCCAGACCATGCACCTGGGCCCATCCATGTGCCTCACCGGCTCCGGGTCAGCACTCCAGGCAGGGGTTTAGCTGGCAGCCATTGAGCCACACTTCCAGACACTCAGTAATCAGACAGAGGCTCCTCCCCAGATCAGATCATCAATCCCCTATGGGATTTAAAAAAAAAAAAGGAATTGCAATGGACACATTATCCAAAAGAGGAAGTACTTCCCATTTGTACTCAACCTGCAAATCCTTCTCACTAAAAATGTAGCCAATACCAAGAATGGACACTTTCTACTCCTCCATGGGAACTGGAGTATGATCACCACCAAAGACCCAGCTCATACATGAATGGAACTCAGTCAGGCGCCTCTACAGCTGCTCCAGGAGCTTGCACATGCACAAGCCACAAAGACGGGGTGAGGTTTCCTAAAGTCTGCAGGTAGCTGTGCTTCAGAGTAGAAGTGAGGTGGCCTACAGAGGCAGGACAACCTAACAAAGTTAAGACAGGACTCACGTTTGTACCCAGGGCTGGATCCTGCCTACCATAGCTGCCTTCACATTTGAATTTGTAGCCTCACTCAGATTTCACATATTTGTAATTTGAGCCTAGAAATACTAACCATAGGCTTATATTAGTGAACTAATGTAATTAATCCCTTATTGGAGGGTATGGGGAGGCAGAAGCAAATATATGTGGGGAGGTTTACGCCATCAGTCATTTCCATGCTAGCATAAATTAGTCCCCATTACTTTTTCCTAGCTTTACTTCTCTGAAGGAAGAAGAATTTGTATTAGATGAGGAGCTGGCAGGAAATGCTGAAGTCTGTCCCTCTCTAAGGCTAAATGGCACCTAGGGTTTGAGACAGAATAATGGGGAAACACTTCTCGGGAGAAAAGTGGGCATAAAAGGGAGTGGAATGAATGCATAAGGTAAACTTGGTCTACTTTCTGTTTTTAGTCCCTAAAAGCCAAACCACAGAGCTATTGCTCCCTGAAGTACAGGGTCAACCAAATGGCACTGTAGTTACTGACATCCTGAGCTACCACCGTTTCTCAGAACCAGCCCAGCTTACTTCTAAGAGAAAAATGACTCCAAAATCCCGAAAGATCAGAATATAACACAACCCTGTGACTGGAGTCATAATAGATCAGAAGGAAGTTAGGACAAAAGAAAATAGCAAACATAGGTGTATATCAAGAGTGCCCATCCCCCCCACACACACACACACACAATATAGGTATTTAGGCCTAAAAGAAAGCCAGCCTGGCAGGACCGGTGGGATCAGACAAAGAGCCGCACAGCAGGTGACTGCAGGGGGTGCTTCTCTCTTCAATTCTCCCCGCCATTGGGAAGAGGTCGCAGCAGCGGAACCGTTCTCAAGAGGTGACAAAAATCAATACAAGGGGAAAAAACACAAAATATTATAATACACCTCTCCAGGTAACCTTCTGAGCTATTTAACTAAAATGACTCATCTCCCATTAACGCTTTGCTATCAGGAATGAGTCACACAAAAGGATGTCACCCTGACTTTCGGCGCTCTCAACCGCACATGGCTCGAGGTTCTCTGGGGGCCAGGACTCCTCCTAACAGAGATGCTGTGTGCGACACGGAAAGCTGTCACACAGCGATGGTTGAAGAACAGCAAACGCTTTCAGGGTAGAACATAATGGAAAATGAAATTCAGTTGACCACTGGCGAGTAACCTTAAGAATAATTCAGAAGAGCTTTTTACACTGGAGCATGAGCTGCAAAACGATGCTGAATATTAACTCACTCTAGCACTGTTCCCCCTCCTATCGCTTTGTGGGATGGGGAGAGACAGGCCAGGTCTTACAGATGACCCGCAATGCTGCAAAATTAAATCCAACCCAGGCTTGTGTCTTGAATTTTGTGTCCTTCAATACACATATTTAAATCTTACAGTAGTGGTTACAGGGCAGGCAATGGTAACTAACACGCCCTATGTAAAGTGACAGGTCTCGCCGGGAGGGGTCGATGTCACCCACCGCGGGCTCTCAAAGGGCATCTAGTTTTGGGAGAGACGGGGGAGAAACCGCAACACGGGTGCAGAACTCGTTGCAACTGGAACGGCTCCAGTTCCCGCAGAGCATCGCCGCCGACTCTCTGGGAATCGCTGTTTCCATGTCATTCTCCTTCACATGCTACAGCTTAGAATTTCTAAGGAGAAAGACATCGTGCATCCGAACACGAAACCGGAATAAAAATGTACAGGAGATACTAAGAATAGGACAAAAACCTGCTAAGACTAAAATATATAAACCCTCCACAGCCGACAAAATAAAGTTTCCACGAAAAGGGGGTGGAGGTGCAAAGAGCCTGCTCCCGGTGAAGGGCCTGGCTTCTAGGATCCCTCTTGGGCCGCCAGGGGTTTGCGCATAGCCACTGATTCTTTCCAGGGGTCCCGTTTGGAAGCAGCAAGAAACCGAAAGGATGTGGTCGCGGCCAAGAACAGGGTTCCCTCCTCAAGGAATCCAAACCAAGGAAACGAGGGAGGGGTGGATAGGGAAGAGGGAAACGCGGGAACACACAGGGAGGTCCTCCCGTTCCCTTCC